ATGCACATAACATTTTTGAAAAGTGATCCAACTATGCATAATGTGTTTAGACCTCCATGAAAAGAGAAAAAAAAAATAATATAAGCATTAAATATAATTATTGAATGAAAAAAATAAATATAACTAATTGTCATTCATTACTTAATTAAACAAAGTTGAATATTAGAGTTGTTTCTCATAATACATATATAATCAACCTCTAGAATGAAAGAAAATGTATCATAGATTTTATTATGTCCTTTAAGTTTTTCCCAATAGAGAGTGTTCTTTTTTACCACACTATTGGTAATGAATCTGAAGTTGCTTGATTTGAAATATATCGGACATGATGCGGCTAAGCTGTCGCTAATAGTTAGTTGGACAATGTGTTGTGTACGAACTTCCCAAATTATTCTCAGATCGCAGACATGTCTAGCAACAATGTAGTACTTTTCATGAAACAAATATTTTTTTCATGAAATAATTGAATAAATAAAAAAGTATGAAAATAATATTACATGAAATATATGTTACTCATTAAGTTGATGAATGAGCGAGGATATGAGTAACATTCATTTATTTTGAAAATATAGAATTTGCAAAATGTCTTTTGGGTTGCATGAAATCGCATAAACTCAATATCCCTAACTGACTTATGCTTTTTTGCAATAGATAGTTTAAAATGTGTTTTAAAAATTTTATTTCCCTCAGTGTAAAAGAATTGTTTGCACCAAAGGATTGTAAACCGTATCGAAAAAGTTGGTAGTAGAGTATTTTATACTGAAGTCATAATTTAACTATGGTTCAACCGTTTCATATTGCTAGATGTCACCTATCGTCTATCGATTTAACCTATAATGTGAAGTTTTATGGTCTAACCGCCGGTACGTACGATCTTTCAATACAAACTTTAAATAAAAAATTGCTAAAATATTGACATTATCAAATACCCCTTAAATCTCAGAAATTACAATAATCATATTAAGAAAAAAATCTTCCAAATGATAATATTGATTTAGGATTTTAAATTGAAATGGAAAAAATTTGTCAAACATAATGTCATGTCCTAAAATAAATCAAAACTTAACAGAATAGGGCCAAGAATATCCATTAATCAAAACAGAAGGGCTATTATTTCACACTACCCCACTTTTCTCCCCTTTTAAATGTGTTCTCTCACTCTCTCTTTGCCTTGCTCTTTGTTTTTCCATTTGTTCTTCCATCTCTCTCTCTCAACTTTGTATCTCACAACTCTCCAATTTTCCGTTCATCTTTCTTCCCACCGCCTGGAATCGAGGGAAATCTAGAAATATCCCAATTACTCCTCCAATTGTGCGATCGAAATACTTCTTCTCCATTCACAGTCAATAGTGTGAATCAGAGCTCCTGAAATCAGGCGAATAGATGGTCGTTTATTCATCGACAGAGCAAAGTAGCTTGATAGCTTATGAATAAACTAATTATTAACAGTGATAAAAAGCATAACTCGTTAAACCAATCGAGTGAGTGTATAGTTAGTTCATCGCCTAAAGCTTCAAACCATTGTATTTATCTAAAGAATCAAAATGCATAATCAGGTTCATCTTCACTTTACATGTACTTGTCGTATAAATTAATTACACATAAAAATGGTTTTGAACCGACGCCATATCAAACTAAATCTCATCTTATGATTATTGGATTCACGTCAGATTTGCAAAAGGTATAAGGATATTGGTCAATCGGGCTAAAAATTAATACTAATTTAAGAATTATATATCGCTTCCAAAATGTTCAATACTCCAATTCAATATGCAATATTCAAACAAATGATATATGAGTTTGAACCCTTAAATTTTTTAGACAACCCCCCCCCCCCCCCACACACACACACTTGCAAAGTTATTGTTGGCGTTGTTTGTTATTACTGCAAGTTATAAATGAATTTTTAGTTGTATACAATATTGAACAAGGTTTGAGTCTCAAATAAATAATGAATGTATTTTATAAACCTTTTAGAATATGAGCCGTCACACGTTGATGTGAGAAACTACTCATTAATTCAAATTTATATGTTATTTTTAGAATATTTTATTTTATTTTTATCAAATGATGCTTTTCTCCATAAAACATGAGTTCACCAATAAAGGCTATGTGGTGCTCGCACATGTGCGCGAGCCCTTGAAGTTTAAGTCTGGTACGATCCATGAAGCATTTATGCTTGTACATGGTCGATCCATATACATTGTCTTCATGGTATGCTCTAATTGTGTCGTGCTAGCTCGATCATGTTCCTAGGTATAATTATATGCATTATAATAATTAAGTTTCTACCTATTCACAACACCAAGATAAAAACAGTCATAAATGCACCGAGTATTCGATCTTGACTACCTGATGAAAAACAGTCATAAAGTGTAAAGATTGTATAATGTGGTTAATTATAACTTACGTTTAGGACTTTGCTACGGTGACATGCATGTCACGGTGACATGCACTTTTCGGTCGACCTCATATAGGATTAGGTCGACCTAATATGTTGTTTCAGTGTAAAAACAGTTTCATGGTGCATACTTTGGAGATTCATATCTTACAATTGGCTAGATGAAAATTGGAGATTAAAGGCTTGTTTTGAAGCTGAAGTGTCCCTCTACACATTAAAGTACTTGGGAGCTCAATAGAAAGTCCAGAAGACCATTTTTGAACCTAACCAAAAGGTTGTGCCAAAACTATGAAACTGCCTGAAAATGGCTAAGTCTGGCAACGTGTTTGTCAAGCCTACTTTGGAGCTCAATTTTATAAGCATGGATGTGAGTCAAGTCAGGGGCCTCTACCACGTTAAATTAAGTATTTTTTTTATACAAAGGCAAGACATTGGGTGAAAGATTGAATATCTTTAAGGTTTCAAACAAAAAGCTCGAAGTTGCTATGAAGGCTGTTTTTCTGGCAGCTTGCTTGTGCTCGAAGTCTGACAGAAAACAGCCTTCGTAGCAACTTCGACCCTTTTGTTTGAAGCCTTACAGATATCCAATCTTTCATCCAATGCCATGAATTTGTATAAAAACATACCTAATTTAACGTGGTAGAGGCTCCTGGACTCGACTCGCATTCATGCTTCTCGAATTGAGCTCCAAAATAGGCTTCACAAACACGTTTCCAGACTTAGCCATTTCCAGGCAGTTTCCCAGTTTTGGCATAGCCTTTTGATGAGGTTCAAAAATGGTCTTCTGAACTTCCTATCGAGCTGTCAATCACTTCAATATGTAGAGGGACACTCCAGCTTCAAAACAAGTCATTAGTCTTCAATTTCCATCTAGCCAATTGTATGATATGAATATCCAAAGTAGGCACCATGAACTGTTTTTACACTGAAACAACAGATTAGGTCGACCTGATCCTATATGAGGTCGACCGAATTCTAAATGAGGTCGACCTAATCCTAACTGAGGTCGACCGGAAAGTGCAAGTCACCGTGACATGCATGTCACCGTAGGCACACCCTAACTTATTTATATGTTAAAATTGATCAAAGCATCCGATCCAAAATTGACGAAATGAACATCACATTAAACTCGATATCGTCTCATTATTGTCGGGTCCATTCATGCCCGATTAGCAAGAGTTTAATGTTTAGCAGTTAACCAGGTTAAAATTTTAGTGAACCAGTCACCTATAGTTTGTACAAAATATTATTCTTTCGTATTAGTTCTGAAAATTTATATTAATTTACAGAATTCTACATTGCTTTTCATATTCAATATTGCAGTTCGATATGTAATATTTTAAGCAATGAAATTTGTGTTGCAATTTTAAGGTTACCCGTCATTTTATAGGCTATAAAAATTATAAATCACGTATTAAATATTGCTTTTTAGAAGATTTAATAGGTTACTTAACTGTGAAAAGTCCTCTGCTTTTCAAATCTTCGTTTAGTGCATGTTTATAATTTATGAAGATAAAATAAATTTGTTTAGTGTAATTGGTTGTGATTATTATTTTTGTTTTAAGACACCATGATTTAAATCTTGATATTGATACTTTTTCATATGAAGTAGATAATAATTGTGATGACAAAAATACTATTCATACTTTCGCTCTCACTTCGCTAAATTTGAAATAGAAAATCTTAAAACATTGAATATATCTCATAGAAAGAGCTTCTTCAACAAAGTAGGAAAGGTATTTTACTTGAATTTATTATTTTTTATAGAAAGTGATTAATTGTAAAATCGAAACTCAAGTTACATTGATTCAAACATTAAATAATAAATTTTATGCGTGGTTCAGTTTAGACAAAATACATATGTGTAGCCAAAACATGGATCTATGTGTGGTTCAGTTTAGACTCTCATTTTTCAATTTTATCATTATATTATGTGTAGATTTTTCACAAAAAAAATGATTATACTCATCACAAAGGTCTATGTTTTGGTTATACTTATGTATATTTTATGAATCAATACTATTTAATATTAACGTTTGAATCAATACTACTTGGTTCATACAATTTAATATTAACGTTTGAATCAATACTATTTGGGTTCCGATTTCAGAATTAATATCTTTCTATAAAATATAAATATAGAAGCATCATCATAAACACATTGTTAGAGTACAATAAAAAAAATAACAATGGATAAAATGTAGCCTAGTTGGTTATAATGCTCTTTCTTCATTCAAGTGACAAAGGTTTGAACTCTAATGATAAACATTTTTAATATATAAACATGAGTTGAGTGTAATGACAAAAATGATCTTCCTAGAATCATTCTCAGACCACGAAATTTGAAATGGGAGAATTCTAACCTATGTGTTTGCCTTTATGTATTGTGTAGATGTTTTGATTCATGTGGCATGTTAAAAATTTTAATTTCTTGTCATGTCATCGGAATTTTTTCATTTCATTAAGAATTTGCCACATCAAAATCAACTAACAGTTGACCGAACAGAAAGTTAATAGTTAGATTATTAAATTGTTTCCGAAAAAGCTTAGCTATTATACTGTTTAAAACAAAAGTTCGGCTAATATATTGTATATACCTTTTTTTTAATGCCAATTCATGAAACTTAAATCAACTCAAATGATTCTCAATTTGCATATGTACTCTATATGATATGAACTAAGCCATTGCCCACTTCCAAGAACCAAACCAACCAATGGTGTGACATATTCTTATTTCAAAACAACAAACATCTGTAATCCATAAACATCCTCCTAAAAAAGAACCACCACCAGGTTGGAAAAGAAAAACTAGCAAAAAGACTCTGTATATGGGGAAATGTTACACATCTCAAAATGGTATCTTCAAGCTGCCAAACCAAAACTAAACCCCCACTTCTCCTTCTCTTCATCTATACCACCAGCAATGTAACAAACCCCAGCACGAGAAGCACAACAACAACAGAAGGCCCAAGAATTCCAGCAGAAGAAGTAGCAATCTGGATCATAAAATTGCAGTTCCCCTGAGATATATTCTGTGTAGTAACACTAGCCAATCCTTCGAAATTACAAGCCAAGTCATCCTGATTCTGCACCTGGTAGTACATGTTGAAAGCATACGACGCATTCCCGTTTGCATCCAGCCCGTTGCAGGATGACCCATACCCGAGCGTCGTGCAATCGGAGAAAGTGCACGCGTAGTTGATATTGTCGGCCAGCTTGCTCAGATCCTTAGCATTCGGATTGAATGCACACCACTTCTGGGGCAAGTAGTCCACACCTCGTGCACCCACCAGAAGTTTGTTTTGCCCTTGGCCCGAGAGATCCAATGCGAACTTGGGCTGCCCGTCGTACCTGACGATGCCCCAATGTCGCTCGAAGCTGCCTGGGGCAATGCTCTTGGCGTCCTCGTCTAGAAGGCCGAACAGGTAGACCTCGATGTAGCCAGGTCGAAGTGGCGTACCTTAACATAGTTAGTAAAATACGATTTAGAGGTGATAAGTATCACACTGGTGATAAGTGTTTCAAACGCGTTTAGCAAGTGAACAGACAGACAAACAAATGCATCAAATACAATGTGCAGAAGAAAGCAAACGCGTTTTATGTTACCTCTGTTCGATGCGAGCCTGGGCATTAGCCCGTTGTAGAACCGGTAAGCATTGCCAACATTGCCGTTCTTGTCACCGTCGGTCGGCCATCCCACTTCTCCGACCATGATCGTCATGTCACCGAGTCCCACGGCTTTGAGGGCTGACACCAAGGTGTCGAAATTGGCGTCGAACACGTTGGTATACTGAATCCCGGTGCCCTTGTCGACCACAGGCTGAGCTGCTCCGTCGAAGAAGGCATAATCGAAAGGGAAGTTGTCGTTGCCGTAGAGACTGAGGAAGGGGTAGATGTTCACCGTGAAAGGTGCCTTGTTCTTGTTCATAAACTGGACGATTTGGGTCATTAGGTCGTTGATGTCGGGCCGGAACCTTCCAGCGGATGGGTATGGCTGGTCGTCTGGGGAGAAGTATACGTCTGCGTTTAGGGGAACGGTGGCCTTTATGGTGTCTCCCACGTCAGCTTCGTTGAGGGCGTTTTGGATGTTTTGGAGTGCTGGGAATGTGATGTTTATGAATGAGTTGTTGTATGTCTTTAGGAATGGTTCGTTCCCTACTGCCACATACCTGTTGCAGAAAATTGAAAGTAATGTAAAGAGCAATTGCCATTGCAAAAATCTGGTCATTAAACTACACTAATAAATTTTGAAGAACTGATCACCAATATGTGGCTAGAATGTGAACTGCAATATCAAGTTAACTGAGTATATTAAAAAGGTTCAGTTCAGACTAATAAAAGTCGGAAATCAAGTTTAACTTTGGAATTCCGAATCAAGAGATACTCCCCCATCAAAGAACTAATATGAACTCAACAAAGCTCTTGACAAATTCCGATGCAAAGTGGACCAATTTTGGTTTCTTCTCTATTGCCAAAATTGACACTCCACCGTAAACTACTCAATAGTTTCACAATACTTGAAGAACAAAGTAAAGGTTTTCATAAAGCAGACACCATTTTGACAGATTCAAAATACCCAAGTTTAGCATCTCTCTAACAACACTCCTACTCTCTTGCCACAAATCATCAACCAATCAGCATGAACAACAAACTGTTTTCAGAGTTCCAAACAGAAAAGAATAGAAATTTTCAAGAAGGGGGAAGAAGAATTGGGCTTTTGACTCACTTGATATTAACACCACCGTTGAAGTTGAACCGAGAAATGTTTCTCTTAACCCATTCTTGAGCGTTGCCATAGTCAGTCATAGCCTGAAGCTGATCATTAGGGATAGCCACCATAACCTCGATGTTGCTCCCAGCAAGAGCATTCATGGTGGTGGAATCTGCATCGAATAGCTTCACTTTCTGAAACCCATTGTCCTTCAACATCTGCACAACTGTCTTGGGCGGTAGCATGTGGGTAGCCATGGTCCCCCAATTCACCCCTAAGCAATTCACAATGGAACAAGAAGAACACCATAGCAGCAACACCCCCAGAAGCAGAAACCATAATCTGCTCCCCATGGTTTGGTTTCAGCTGAAGCTTATGAAAGAAGAAACGGGGGCTTGTTAGATTGAAAGTGAAAAAAGGTTCCAACTTTCCTTTTTTTCTCTTTTGAACAGAGAGAAGGGGAGCGGTTTTCTTTTGGGGGTACCCGTGAAAATAGCGAGATATCAGCGATTAACGACCACTTGAAGGGAAATGGAGATCGTGATGGAAAGAGAGGAACTAGATTCCCTTCCAATTCCAATAAATAGACGAAATCCCACTAAGGGGAAAACGAGAAAGAAGCCGACTTTACAACAAGGAATTGATTCACTCTAACTCAATCGCAAATCGGAAAAGTGAAAGAAGAAAAAAAAGGAAAGCAATAAACCTCCTTTCTAGGTCTCTGGAGATTCGAGAGGAGAGCTTAGAAAATGAAAGCAACAAGCCTTTTCAATTAAAGAAGAGAGAGTACCGTTGCTTTTCTTTTTCTGAAGTTTGGATTGAAAGAGCGAGCGGTTATGAGAGCAAAAACAGAGAAATTTGAAGACACGAAACTGAAACAGATGTATATTTAACGGAGAAAGAACAGAGGTAGGTATGAGAGATATCTTCCTGGCTTTTACTCAATGCTCCGTATTTTTGGAACCCAAATGACTAGGCGTTAATGGCGGCGATGAGTCCTAGAAGAACCAATCCTGTGACTCCCGGAGATGGGTTTTCTATGACTTGAGAAACCCAGAGAAGGAAAACAAAAACCTTCCCCGGAAGATATGAACGGAATAGCTGATGGGGGAGGGAGAAGACGGCAAACCGAGAGCACACTTTCAGGTTTCAAAGAACCAGCTACTAAATAAATTAACTAAATACAAAAGAATGGAGGAGGAAAACGACAATCAATTGTTCAAACGGCCGAAAATCCTTCGAGGATGGGGAGGGAGAAGGGAGAAAGATTGAGTCTAGGTGTGATTGGCTCGATGAGCTGAGAAAATGGAGAGAGAAAGACAAGAGAATGAGAGAAAGGGTAAGATAGAGTAGAAACAGAGGAGACTGGGAGTTTCTACCAAAAAAAATGGGGGAGACTGGAGAGGGTATTTTGGTCAGAATGTAAAGGGGAATTTCGTTTTTTTTTTTTCTCTTTTTAAATTATTTAGGGGACAATGTCTTTTTTTTTTTTTTGGCCAAAGATAGCTTGTATTACCAAGAAACAAAGATCACAAACGATTACACCTCCGATCGGAGCCAAACGCAAAAATCAAACCCACCGATATGAGCAGGATACAAAGAAAGGGCCTTTCTAGCCACCCTATGGGCTACCCTATTGTGATCCCTACCTACAAATCGGAGAACATCCCCTCCCACCGTGCCCAACACGTCCTGGACTTCCTTCAACACCGCTCCTCCATAGCAATCCCCCGTACTGCCGGCTATCACCTTATCTATAACCACCTTCGCGTCACCCTGGTAACATACCCCGTACACTCCCATCAATCTGCACCACAAGATTGCCTCCCGAAGCGCCAGCAGCTCCACCACCATAGGATCCGTAACCCCCTCCCATACCTTCCCCAAAGCATTAACCACCACCCCATCCGGCCCTTGTAAGACAATCCCCACCGCCGAATGTGACTCCTGACGCACAGCCCCATCAAAGGAGCATACCCAAGCCACCCCCTGCGGCAGTCTATGAGGGCCCGGAGATACCCTCCGCCCTTGTTCTTGCACTCGAACCTCTGCCCCTCTCATCATTTGTAGCCATTCCCCCACCTGGACCAACCATTGGTTACGCAAGACCTCCCCAGTATATTGGCACCCATCAAACACCACCCAGTTACGAGACTTCCAAATTCGCCATAACAACGAAACCACCCTGATAATAACCTCCTCACTAGTCCCCGTTTCCAACAATCGCCGGACAAAAATCCCCATGTTGGCATCCGGCAAATCAGCCCGGACATCCATGAGACCTGACTCTACCCATAGCCTGACAGCCACCGGGCAGTGAAAAAACAAGTGCTCCAAATCCTCACCCTCATGCCAACACACCGGGCACTGTTCCAACACCTCAATCTCGCGCACAGCAAAAGCCTCCATCGTTGGCAGAATCCTGTTCATGACCTGCCACATAAAGAACTTAAGCTTTGGCTGAACCCCAAGATTCCACACTTTCCGCCACAGAACCGGATCCATCCACGATGCCTCACACTTTCCCTTCCACTGCCTCCCAGTCATCCTCATCGCCAAATGGTACCCGGACTTCACCGTGTACTCCCCCGACCTATCCTCATGCCAGATCAGCTTGTCTCTCACATGCGATCGTGGGAGAGCAATCGCTTTAATCGCCCGGCCCACCGATGAGGGGAAGCAGTTAGCCAAGCAATCATCACACCACGTCCCTGGCTTAACGGCTAAAAAACTTTAATATCAGTCACAAAATCCACTGTTTTTTACAGTAACACACAACAACCTTTCTCTGTCTTTTTGTTTTTTTTACAAGAGATGTAATTGAAAAAACAATGTGATTCAATCAGGAAGTGCCGTACGTCTAAATTAAGGTTTATATCTAGGCAGACAAAGTAGAGGTGGTGTAAGAATATCTCAATTCTATTTTCTTTGATGCAATGCTTAGTGAGTTAGGTGAAAAAGTTGGATTACCTTTAATGATTTAGGGTCGTTTGGATGAGAAATTCTAAATGATTAATTTGATCTAATTGTTTTATTTTGAGATAATCTTGTCATATTGATCCGTTTGGCAGTACAAATTTAATGAAGCAATTCGTCTGAGAAATTTCAAATTGACTCATTTTGAGACAATTTACAATTACAATAGTCTATGGTGGGGCATACATTTAAATTGACTCGTTTTAATTACTCGTTTTGTAAAATGAAAAAATTGATCAAATTGTCTCATTTTTCAATTGATCCATCTAACAATCCCTTACACTATTTAATTTATGTTTCATGGACATTATTCTATATGTTTTTTATATGATGGGTATAATTTTATACATTCCGGATGGATAAGGACGGTAAACAGTTAATTTATTATAATTGATAATAGAATTCATAATTGCAATTAGTGGTTAATATATAATTGATAATTTTTTAGTGATTCAGTTATTGATAATTTGATTTTGCTTAGTGGTTAACTATTAATCAATTAATCAATTAGCAATTAATCATTAAGAAAAATAATAACCGCCTAGCTACTAGTATAACCACATTATTTTGGTTTCTTATTATAAAAAGTATCAAAATTCAAGAACAACCAAATTCGCAATTCCAAAAGGTTCAATCCTCCTTTATTACAAACAACTTTCCACCAAAATGTCCCAAATGTCTCCAAGAGCACCAATGCTATAAAATATCGTAAATTACATCATTTCTTAGATGCTAAAGTGTTCGTTTAGTTAAATTAAAACCCACTTTGATTTGGTTAAATGGTGCATCAAGGTTTAGTACTAGTACTCCTAAGTGCATGATGAATACGACCTTATTTAACTATATATATAGAGAGAGAGCTCAATTGCACACTTGCCAAGTTGCCCGTCTTAACCAAGTAGTTATGTGTAGGAGTGGAAGCTTGATTTGCAGTTCGTGGATAATTCCCAAACTGCACCATATTGCATACTTTATTTTTTGTACTTTTTAGTGATGTCGATCGTTAATTTTCTTGAAGTAGCGATGATGGATGGAAAGAATGGAATGGAATGGATGGCTGAGTTTTCGGGAAGTAATAGGACCGCACAACTACGCTCGCTCGTTCAGTAGATGTGGCGGAGCAGTCGGTTGCCGACATAAAGCCCCCCATTTTACATCATCTTCGCCTCCTTTCCCACTCACCACAACGCGTGGATATGTAATCCAAGTCTAACTTCTCTTTATCTTTTCGCTCGTTTCCTAATTTTCATCGAATACGGAGCCAGTGGCGGAGGCAGAATCTGAAAGTACCTATGTCCTCTTTTCATAATATAAAATAAATAAATAAATATTAATAAATATAATTAAAACTAATAATATCTAAATCATGTATTCATATATATTAAAGAAATAATAGACTAATACAATCATTATTTTCATAAGCAATCACAACGCATTTTCAAATTCTCAATGTATCCGACTAAGCAATCATTAGCAAATTGGTCGCAATTCGATTTTGAAACTTGTTTTTAATATAGCTCAAAGCTGAAATTGTTCTTTCTACACTTGCAATTGCAACGAGTAGAGTCAAAACTAACTTTAGAAGACAAAGATATCGACCTTTAGGTACTGTGAATTTTGTTTATAGTGTGATACATTGATTTATGTTAGCTTTTAAACTTGAAATAACTTGTAGTATAGTGATAAAACACTTTTATATTACCTTAAGTCGATGAGTGCAATCCTTAATTGATACATATATATGAAGTATTTTATTTTACCCAAAAATTACCTGTGTCCCGGGACACATCCCATGCCCCCTAGCTCCGCCTATGTACGGAGCACCTCTTACCTATTTCTCGATTGTCTATTTTGCACTGTTATTAAGACCGGACCGATCCGGCCGGCTGGACCGTTAATCTGTCATCCGGCCGCAAAATCGGCTCGAGCTAATCATTTAGCCGCTATGATTTTATGGAACGGCCGGCGAGCAGTCGAAGCGGTTAACCATTTGAACCGTTCAAACCGGTCGCTCGGCTTTTCCCTTCCGGTCGTTCTATTGAATGAAATAAATTGAAAAAGAAAATCGAAAATTGAAAATTGAAAACGAAAGGAAAAATTGTGGGTCTGGGAAAGAAACTCTAACTCTAATTCATTTTTCGTCTTTGACTCTTCGTGAACAGAGGGAGAAGAGCGCCGCCAGACCCTGTCGTCTCCAACTCTTCCCGTCCTGGCTTCCCGTCGGCATCTACGCTAGCTCCCAGCTCGCCATTACCAGTCTCCGTCCTCGTCCCCTCTTCCCGTAGCAACTCCTCCACTCCGTCGTCACTTTCCATCCCGACGCTTCCCGTTGCCATCCCCAGTCCCTGTAGCCGCTCCCCGCTCTCGGCTCCCCGCTTGCATGTTTTGGAATTGTTAAGAGTTAAGAGTGTAATTTATAAATTTAGTCATGGTTTACCATGATTAAGAAGTGTCCACTATTTATACTGATTATTTATTAGGTACCGTTTTTCTAACGGTTTTTAAACGGTTTAATGTCGGTTGGACCGTTAAAGACCGAGTCGTTCACATTATCGGGTCATACTTCGGTTTGCTTTTGACAACATTGCTATTTTGTTTCCTTACAAATAAGGAGCACCTCTTCCTCCTTTTAATGGAACAAATCAAGGTTGTATCATTGGACAATCACGTATTCATGCAACGTAGAATTTTATTTAAACGTGACATTGTAAGAATTTATATACGTTCAGAATATAGTATCTAATTTGAAAGAATTGTGATATGGAGTGCCATATTGACAAAGCGAGTTCAATCGCCGCATCTTATCTTGCGCCACTCTTATAAACATCTATTAACTTATGACCAAATAGACACAAAATTATCTCAACCGCTACTACCACGACTTGACCAAAGTATTTTTTTAATTTAAATAGATTTGCATAGTAATTGTTGTTTAAAAGGCGTCGATAGTTATTGAGTGGGTAATTATCTAGTTCAATCTAATTCAGAAAAATTTCGAGTAATGTCATATACGAGTTTGGCCAAAAATCAGGTCTGATATATATTCACAAAGACTAAAACAACATTGTTTTGAGTCCTTACCCTAATGACAAAAGTCGAGTTTTTAATTAGCTTGAACTCGACTCGTTTATAAATTTTTCAGCTCGAGCTCGTGCTCGTGCTCGGTTTGAATAAAAATAATCTAACTCGAACTTGACTCGGAAGAGCTTGGTAAATGTTCATTAACACATCTTGTCAAACTGAGTACAAGTTCGGCTCAAGATGAGCTCGATTTGAAATCATTCTTACTGAACAATGTGTAAACATAAGAATTTAAATGATAAAAATAACACTAGAAACTAAAAATAACATCTAATTTTCATACACATTCGTATTAACAAGACAATGTTCATATTC